GGTCAATCCGCTGGGACGCCGCCTCGGCCTGCATCACCAGGTGGAGCCCCCAAAGGGGCAAGACCCGAGGGTCGACCACCAGGTGGCACAAGCCTTAGCGCCGCCCAGGCATTGACCCCGCCAGCGAGGAGGGGAAGAAAGGGAGCGAACACTCGCACATGACCAAAAACTGCGACCGTGTACAAGTCAGGGCGTCGGCGTCGCGAAGCGTCTCAGTACAGCAAGTCCTCGTGCTAGCCGCCACCCTCGGTAGCGTCGCAATCGAAGTCGTCAAAGTAATTGTCGTGCATGGCCCACCCCCCAAGGTGCAGCTACACCGCTCAGAGCAAGTGTCCAGACTTTGACCGCATTACGGGCCGAGGGGGGTGGGCAATCTCAGATGAACATCCGAGACACGTGATATCTAATTCAACTCTGGCGCACTTTCTCCGAAGCCATGTGGAATTTGAGGTCTCATTGAGAGTGCTTGGTTCGGCGTCGTACAGGGTCCACCGTCATCGATGCTGTGGCCTGGCGAAGAGCTGTCTCCAAAGGTACCAGCCTTCGTCTGACTAGGTCGAGCAATCGCTGAGAATGGCGGCCTATGATGTTCTCCTGGCTGGCTGTCATCTTCACTGTCCGCTGCCCTTCGCCTTGCCCTTCTTGTTGCCCTCGAACTCGTCCAGTAGCTGCTGCGCCGCTCGCTCGAGAGGGCCGCGCGGCGCGGGCCCCCTCTTGATCTGTCCCTGCCTGCGGCAGAGCTCCGAGACCAGCGCATCCTGCACCTCCGAGTGTTTGGCGGGGAGTGCCAGCGAGAGCTTCACCATGCCTTTATTGTTCTCCTTGGGCTTCGTGGGCCTGCACTTGCAGTGCAGTGCTGCTGCTTGCACCTCCGTCGCGCCCTTGCCCTTGATGTGTGCCATCCAGAACGCCAGGATGAGGTCCTTCGTCCACTGCTCGCACGGTTCCTGATTGATGCCCAGCACCATGGCCATGAAGATGTGCACGTACGGTGGGCCCAGCTCTTCGAGGCCCTTCTCGTCGTTCTTGGACTTGAGCGCCTGGACCGTCTCGTGGTAAGTCTGCCCTGCGGCCTTCATGGCCAGCGCGACGGCGCCGTCGATGGGCAGGAGTAGGCAGATGAACACGATCCCTGCGATGTCGCGTAGCTCTGCCGCGTTGGTCAAGGCCAGCCTGGCGAGGACAGTGACGAGGCGACCGAGAACGTTGTCGTCCTTGCCGTTCCCTTGGACCAGCGCCTCGACGGTGCGCTGCTGCTTCTTCCTCCTGGCGTCGTCGCCCTCGCCCTCGGCCTGCTTGTGCTTCAGCGCGAAATTGGCGGGCTCGAGCTCCATGTTGTTCGTCCCGTCGTAGCAGGTCGAGCGGGGGCGCGTGGCTCTGCAGGTGCTTCTGGAGCTCCTCAAAGCTCGAGCATTCGTGGCTACAGATGTGGCATGTGCGCAGATCAGGATGTGATCGTCCTCCAAGGTAGGGTGATCTGCACTTGCATGCGCCGCCTCTCTTCACACTGAGGGCCACATGCTTCTGCGCCGCCACCACAGAGCCATGCACTCCCAGGCACCAGGGGCAGGTGTTTGTTATCACCGTGCAAGTCCAGGGATCCCGAAGCCCATGTTTTTGTAATCGATGCTGGTTGACCGACTTGAATGAAGTGAAGGTTTCCATGCATAAGCTCTCGTCCTCGTTTTTGCAGCCACACACCCAAGTCGGTTCTTGCTTGTTTTCCGTCTCTATTGTTGCCTCGATGACAGGGACCTGGGAGGGAGCCCATCCTGGTGGAGGTATCGCACACGCATAGGCTCCTTCGCGCAGTCGAGAGAAGTCGAGGGCCCCAAAAGCCTCAGCGAGGTCCGCGTCTCTGAAAAGCCTCAGAAAGCCTCCCTCCAGCTCCTCCTTTAACCACATCGTGTCGTCCCCCATCGCCTCCAGCCCCTCCAAGATGTCCTCTTTCACCCTCCTGGCCCACGGATTGACCTGGTCCCCCATCTTCAAGTCGTCCCCCTCAATCGTCGAGTACTTTTCGAAAGGGTACTTTCCGAAGATCGCCGTGAGTTCGTGATCATGATGATGGGGCCTACTCGCTATTCGCTGGAGTCGTTTAAGTCGTCGCACTCGTGCCTCCAGCTTTGTCGGGGCCATCCTCCAGTACTTCAGAACCTCTGACGTCGACATATGTTTGTGCTTTTGCTCGCCCTCCGCAGTTGTCACGGTCGAATGAGCAGCTCCGCGCATCGCCCTGCGTGCAAATCTGGCCACGAGCTTGTCTAGCTCCTGCCAGTTGGCCTCCGTGAGGCAAAAGGCCTCGTTGCCCGACAGCGCTGCGTTCTGTACACAGCAGATGAGCAGGCCTCGGCGGACCTTCCACGGCGTGCGCTTCAAACTCCAAAATCTACCAAGTGCAAAATAAGCCTGTTCCACTGCCTTTCGCCGTTTTTTAAACTCTTCCCCGAACTTACCGTTTACGTGCAACTGAACTCCTAGGTACCGGGCGTGAGGTTTAAACTTAGCTGGCAGACGGACCCTCCCCGAACGGAGATCCCGAGCATCGTTAGTCGAGCCGCACCCAGCGAAGGCAGGGGGAATTTCTTGTTTGTCCCGATTCTGCCTACAGCTAATTGTCTCCAGCGCGCTATCTAGAGTGCTGTTCTCCAGAAAGCTTCGCTGGGCCAGTGATGCCAAAGACTCCGTGTCTTCGGCTACTAAAGATTTCAACAAGTCATCTGCATATTGGCACAACGAAAGATCCACATCTCTGTTGGTGAACGGGCTCTCTGCTATACAATTACCTACGTCGCTGCCAGTTTGCTTCATTTTTTGTTGCCAGGTGTTCACCCCTCTCTGGAAGGCAAGGAGAAACAAGCGCACCACGTAAGGGTCCCCCATAAACGCCCCACAACCGATCCGAAAAATCACCTTGCCTTCCTCGCCTGGCAACTGGACCACTGCTTCGTGGTACCTCTGGCGTCCGAATTGTTCTAAATCTTCCAGCATCAGTTCTTCCTGAGTGGAGTCAAACTCGTCCCAGGAGACGCTGCCGAAGGCATTACTTAAATCATGAAGGTGTGTAATACTTGTGCGTCCCTGTCTGCGCGCACGCCACATTGTACATTGTGCTACTGTGATCGCCGCCTCCTTTGAGCGGCCCTCTAGAAAACCGTGCACCTGTGCCTGCATCCTGGGAGCTACACTCTGTATGGCGTACCAGCCCTTGCCTAAAGGGGCCAAAAGGTGAACCGTCCTAGTACCGTCTGCTGTCCCCCCCGACGTGCGAGCCTCTTTGGACTTGGGGAGGGTAATTCCCTGGCTAAGGTGCCAATAGCTGGGAGTCCTACCAGATTGCCTAATTCTGAGCAGACCGTCCTCCAGAACAGCTCGGAAAAGCGGGGCACTCACGGGGTCTTCAGGGGCGCCGAGTCCTCTATGCCCCTTCCTCGGGTGAGCCTCAGGATTCGGATTCAAGAGAATGGCCAGGAGCTCCAAGGGGGCTGCCCATGGTGGTTGTGTCCGTCTTTTTGGGGCCCTTTTCACCCAACGCTCCAGCCGCCGAAGATCCCGAACCGCTGCCCGTCGAAGGTGTTCGTCCAGTACTGCTGGCTCGGCACCCTGAGGTTGTCGCTCGCTGCGCCAATGATCCCAGTCGTGCATCAGTGTCGCCTGCATGCCTCCGTCTGGTCCCGCCCGTGTCCAGTGTTCTGCCCATTTGTCTGCTGTAAGTCCCAGGGCCTTTACCGTCAGGAAATGCCTCTTTTTGACGCCGTACTTGGTGTTCGCCGCTCTCCGTGTAAGTCTGTGTACTTCTGCCATATTACGAACGCGCCAATGTGCCCATATCTGGTCCAGCAGATCCTCCTGATAAGCTTTCCATTCAATTTCTCGCTCCTTCTTCATGTAAGCCGAAAGTTTCTTGAGTCCCTCCACCACTTCGTGTTCTTCCATTTCCGAGCTTTCATCGTGCCGAAGTCGAAAGCCTCGTCGTGCTTTGAGTAAGATCATGCGCCTCTCCCTTAGGGCTTGGTATCGTTCATCTCGCTCAGGTTCCCGTGAGAAATATTGTTGTCCAACTTCAATTAATAACTGCTCCGTCTTTTCGAAGAGGTAATCCGCCGACGTACGATTGGCCAAGTCCAGCAGCTCGTCCCAGTTCTGATCAAGCGTGGCCTCCATGTCCTCAACGAAGGCCCGCTTGCGCTCCATGTCCATGCCCACGTACGCCTGCATCATGGCTTCCGCATTCCACTTTGGTGAGTTGTCCTGCTTGCGCTGCTCGCTGATGGAGGGCATGCAAAGGTTAACATGTACTGGCAAGTGATCTCGTCGCTGTTTGCTCGGTATCTTTTGCATTGCTCTACCAAGCCTCGCCAACGGTCCGCAGCTTGTCTCCCACTTCTCCAGCGCCGTCGGTATGCATATGTAGTCCACGAGCGACGAGTTGTCGCAGTTACCGTACCAGGTGTCGTCGGCCTTCTGCATCGTCGTGGCCACCATGTGGTGTCCTTCCAGAATCTCCCGAAATCTGCGTCCAGCATAGTGTTCTCGTCGCGACCCTGGGCGGTGGATAGCCGTGCTGTCCCTGAACTCCGTCCCCTTGCCGTTCTCCGTGACCGTCTGGCCCATGCCGTCATTGAGGTCTAAGCATATGATGGGGGAGCTTCGGCTCGGGGTCTGTTGTAAGACTTCCTGCAGCCAATCCATCAGCATGTCAACGCATTTCTCATATGTCGATCGGGTTTCCAACTTGGTCGGTCGTGGCGGCACATAGAGGCCTATCAGCGTGAAGTCGAACTGTTTTGATGCCAGTCGCACTGCTAGGCCCCGTCCTGCGCACTGTTCTGGTGCCGCCATCGCCCGTCGTAAGTGTCGAGGTTTGAATTTGTTGCCGAAACTGAAGAGCACACCTGCAGACTTGTTGCTGTAGCTGGCTCTTTTCCATCCACTCTCTATGCGCCATCGCTCTCCAGCTCTCTGTTGCTGAAGTGGTAGGTCGCACCGACGCTGTGTGC